CGAGCTGCGCGAACAGAGCAGGCATTTCCGACCAGCGAGCACGCAACTATTCGGCGGGGTCGGGGGCGGCCCTGGGAGGCCGGAGAGCGGGACTACATGCACGAATGTGTCCGCGGCGCGAATATGTCGGTGCCTTTGGTGCTCTTCTTGGGAGTGGTGGTCTCCAGGGCCGCGTCCCCCCGGACGGGCTGGGCGGGCCCCGTGTCGCCGGATGGCGCCCTGTCCAGACGCCCCCACGAGTGGTTCCAGCGTAGACGTCTGTTTTTTTCCAACCCTCCTTGGTTGGGTATTCGTTTTGAATAGAGCAGTGTGGTCGCGTCCCTCCTCCCTCCCTTCCTCCCTCCCTGCCTCTTCCTGTCTTGCCTGCGGGGGGCTGCGATCTGTGAAACTGTCGCCATTTTCGAGGCCTGCTGGGGGGCCCAGCACAGTGAGGGCCACGGGCGGATTCAAATTAGACCTCGCCATCCCTGGGGGGCTGCGATCTGTGAAACTGTCGCCATTTTCGAGGCCTGCTGGGGGGCCCAGCACAGTGAGGGCCACGCGCGGATTCAAATTAGACCTCGCCATCCCTGGGGGGCTGCGATCTGTGAAACTGTCGCCATTTTCGAGGCCTGCTGGGGGGCCCAGCACAGTGAGGGCCACGGGCAGATTCAAATTAGACCTCGACATCCCTGGGGGGGCTGCGATCTGTGAAACTGTCGCCATTTTCGAGGCCTGCTGGGGGGCCCAGCACAGTGAGGGCGACGCGCGGATTCAAATTAGACCTCGCCATCCCTGGGGGGCTGCGCTCTGTGAAACTGTCGCCATTTTCGAGGCCTGCTGGGGGGCCCAGCACAGTGAGGGCCACGGGCAGATTCAAATTAGACCTCGCCATCCCTGGGGGGGCTGCGATCTGTGAAACTGTCGCCATTTTCGAGGCCTGCTGGGGGGCCCAGCACAGTGACGCCACGGGCAGATTCAAATTAGACCTCGCCATCCCTGGGGGGCTGCGATCTGTGAAACTGTCGCCATTTTCGAGGCCTGCTGGGGGGCCCAGCACAGTGAGGGCCACGGGCAGATTCAAATGAGACCTCGCCATCCCTGGGGGGGTGCGATCTGTGAAACTGTCGCCACTTTCGAGGCCTGCTGGGGGGCCCAGCACAGTGACGCCACGGGCAGATTCCTCTGAAACCTCGCCATCCCTGGGGGGCTGTGATCTGTGAAACTGTCGCCATTTTCGAGGCCTACTGGGGGGCCCAGCACAGTGAGGGCCACGCGCGGATTCAAATTAGGCCTCGCCATCTCTGGGGGGGCTGCGATCTGTGAAACTGTCGCCACTTTCGAGGCCTGCTGGGGGGCCCTGCACAGTTACGCCACGGGCATATTCAAACGAGACCTCGCCATCCCTTGGGGGCTGCGATCTGTGAAACTGTCGCCACTTTCGAGGCCTGCTGAGGGGCCCGGCGCAGTGACGCCACGGGCAGATTCAAATGAGACCTCGCCATCCCCTGGAGGCTGCGATCTGTGAAACTGTCGCCACTTTCGAGGCCTGCTGGGGGGCCCGGCACAGTGACGCCACGCGCGGACCCAAATTAGACCTCGCCATCCCTGCGGGGCTGCGATCTGTGAAACTGTCGCCACTTTCGAGGCCTGCTGTGATCACCATTTTCAAAGTGGCTAGGAGTGCCCAGGAATTGTAACTCATCAGCTTTATCAAGCCCTTTTCCTGTAGCCAGTGTCCTGCGAGTCTCCCGAATTCCGTCTGCAGACATATGCAACCCTCGCTCCGTCATCGCCCCCTTATACAGTATCCTAAACTATTTGCGCCCCGCTTTTGCGCAGGGGTTGGGTACGTCGCCAGGGTAATTTTCTGGATTCATGCCGATGCTTTAGGAGGCGCCGGCTTCGCATCGGGTGCAGAGTTATTTCGAGGGGGCCAGTCCGCGGGTTGACGTCAGGGGCACTGGGCCTGGTTTATTCCAGCGGGTTTTGCCTCCGCCCACCAGCGCCCTCTCGGGTCCCTGCTGGCCGCGGGGGCACTGGAGGTCAATAAGCAAGGGGGTTTTCGTGAGAAGAGGGGTTGTAGGGAGAGGGGTAGGTATAGGGAACGCATGGGACGAATAAAGGTCATTCGCAGCAGCGGTGGAGGTGGATCGGCGGTGGGCTGTGGATTAGGTTTGAAAGTAGAGATATGAGAGAGTCCTACCCTACAAGCAGGCCGGTGGGTCGTTCTGTTTTTCCCAACCATCCTGTGGTGTTGGGTCCTCGTTTTGAAGAGACGGTCCCCGCGTTCCTCCTCCTCTCCTCCTACTCTTCCCCCTCCTCGTTCCTCCTACCTCCTCCCTCCTCCGCAGTTCCCATGCGTCTCCCCGCCCAGTATTGGGTTTCGTGGCCGCATAGGGAGCTCCACCGAAAGCCCCAGTGGCACCGCCCGCATGCGTCAGCCACCACCCAGGACAACATTTCGTGGGCCCATAGGTGGCTCCACCGAAGGTCCAAGTGGCACCGCCGGCATGCGTCAGCCACCACCCAGTGCAGCGTTTCGTGTCCCCATAGGGAGCTCCACCGAAGGTCCCAGTGGGACCGCCCGCGTGCGTCAGCCACCACCCAACGCAGCGTTTCGTGGCCCCATCTAGAGGGCTCCACCGAAGGCCCCAGTGGCACCGCCCGCATGCGTCAGCCACCACCAAGGACAGCATTTCGTGGGCCCATAGGGAGCTCCACCGAAGGTCCCAGTGGGACGCCCGCATGCGTCAGCCAACGCCCAGCACAGCGTTTCGCGGCCCCAGAAGGGGGCTCTACCGAAGGCCCCCGTGGCACTGCCCGCATGCGTCAGCCACCACCCAGCACAGCGTTTCGTGGCCACATAGGTGGCTCCACCGAAGGGCCCAGTGGCACCGCCCGCATGCGTCAGCCACCACCCAGTACAGCGTTCCGTGGTCCCACAGGGAGCATCACCGAAGGTCCCAGTGGCACCGCCAGCCTGCGTCAGCCACCTCAGAGTACAGCGTTTCGTGGCCCCAGAAGGAGCTCCACCGACGGCCCCAGTGGCACCGCCCTCAGCCACCACCCAGTACAGCGTTCCGTGGTCCCATAGGGAGCTCCACCGAAGGCCCCAGTGGGGCCGCCCGCATGCGTCAGCCACCACCCAGTACAGCGTGTCGTGGTCCCATAGGGAGCCCTTCCGAAGGTCCCGGTGGGCGCCCGCATGCGTCAGCCACCACCCAGAACAGCGTTTCGTGGCTCCACGGGCAGCTCCACCGACGGTCCCAGTGGGACCGCCCGCATGCGTCAGCCACCACCCAGTACAGCGTTTCGTAGCCCCGTAGGGAGCTCCACAGAAAGACCCTCGTGGCACCGTCCGCATGCGTCGTGCACAGCCCAGTATTGCATTTCACGGTCCCATTGATTGGGGGCTCCACCAAGCCCCAGTGACACCGCTCGCATGCGTCCCGCCCGACGTGGCACAGCGTTTCGTGGCCCTACAGGGAGCTCCAGTGGTCCGCCCGCATGCGACCCTCCACCCAGTGCAGCGTTTCGTGGGCCCATAGAGAGCTCCACCGAAGGCCCCAGTGGCACCGCCCGCTTGCGCCCCCCCTCCCAATACAGCGTTTCGTGACCCCATGAAAGGGGGCTCCACCGAAACACCCACTGGCACAGCTCGCATGCGTCGGCAACCACCCAGTACAGCGTTTCGTGGCCCCATAGGGGGCTCCACAGAAAGACCCCAGTGGCACCGCCCGCATGCGTCTCCCCCAACCAGCACAGCGTTTCGTGGCCTCATCGGGAGCTCCAGCGAGGGGAGCCGCCCGCATGCGTCTGCCACACCCACCGCAGCGTTTCGTGGCCCATAGAAAGCCACACCAAGGGCCGCAGTGGCACCGCCCGCATGCGTCCCTCCCATCCATTACCGCACGTCCCTCACGCGTTTCGTGGCCCCGTAGGGGAGCTCCACCGAAAGCGGTGCCCACAACGCGTTATTCGCAACTGCATATGATTGGATCTTTTGCCAGGATTTTTTTGGTTGTTCGTTTTCATGCTTTCCGTTGTTGTCGCGCCCATGGATATATCTTCCTCTCTGCCCCCTTGCATCTTTCCGCAGCCACCCTGTGGTGTTGGGTCCTCGTTTTGAAGAGACGGTTCCCGCGTGCCCTCCTTCCCTCCTTCCTTCCTCCTCCCCTCCTCCCTGCGCCGCCCGCATGCGTCACGCGCGCTCGCTTCGGCGCACCCCTCACACGTTTCGTGGCCACATGGGGAGCTCCACCGAAGGCCCTGGTGCCACCGCCCACGTGCGTCACGCACACCCATGTCGGCACGCCTCTCATACGTGCCTCCGTGGTCCTTCAGGGAGCTCCACGTAAGGCCCCAGTGCCACTGCCCGCATGCGTCACGCACACGCATGTCGGCACACCCCTCACATGTTTCGGGGCCCCCTATGGGTTCACGAAACGCTGTACTGGGTGGTGGCTGACGCATGCGGGCGGTTCCACTGGAGCCTTCGGTGGAGTCCTCTATGAGGCCACGAAAGGGTGGTGGATGACGCATGCGGGCGGTCCCACTGCTGTACTGGGTGGTGGCTGACGCATGCGGGCGGTCCCACTGGGGCCTTCGGTGGAGCTCCCTATGGGGCCACGAAGCGCTGTGCTGGGTGGTGGATGACGCATGCGGGCGGTCCCACTGGGACCTTTGGAAGGGATCCCTATGGGACCACGAAGCGCTGTACTGGGTGGTGGATGACGCATGCGGGCGGTGCAACTGGAGCCTTCGGTGGAGCTCTATAGGGCCACGAAATGCTGTGCTGGGTGGTGGATGACGCATGCGGGCGGTCCCATTGGAGCCTTCGGTGGAGCTCCCTATGCGGCCACGAAATGAAGGAGGAGGATGGAGGAAGGAAGGAAGGAAGGAAGGAAGGAAGAAGGAGGAGGAGGAGGAGGAGAAGGAAGGAAGGAAGGAAGGAAGGAAGGAAGGAGGAAGGGAGGATAACGCGGGGACCGTCTCTTCAAAACGAGGACCCAACACCACAGGATGGTTGGGAAAAACCGAGTACGACGGAGGTACGGAGTTGCGGTGTATGCTGACAGTACAAGGTTTCAAGGATCCCGATGTGCTCGAGATAGTCAACGCTGGGAAGACCCAGAGTCCGACATGTCCGCGACAGGGAAGGCGACTGTCGTACAGTTGGTGGCCTCAGCTCGTTTTCCGTTGGTCTTGGGAGATATCCGTGGGGCATTCCTGGAGGTCGACCCGGAGGAACGACCAAATGGACCTGTGTTCGTAGCTGCTCGCAGGAACCATACACCTAAGGGACACCATCCAGACCAACTCTACGAGCTTGTGAATGGCTACGGTGGCGTTGACCAGCCACAGCGGTGGTTTTCAACATTTAAGCGCTACGCCGAGAAATTGGCTTCATAGCCCATCCTCTCGATGCGTGTTTGTTCATGATATTCGAGCCTGTGCAGGCCAGGCAGACTGTACCCGCGGTACCTGCGTGTGTGCCGATCGGGTCCTCTCGAGGACCACCGGGGGCGGTACGTGGGCTGATGGGGATACATGTTGACGATACGGTGGGAGGAGGTCGAGGAGATAGGTGGGGTCGGTGGTTCAATCCCAGAAAACATATGCCGAGACAATGAAACCAGTGACAATAAAACTGTGTGCTGCGAATGATAGTAAGGCGTTGCCGACGGAGTCGTCGCTGATTCGATGAATCAGGCTGGCAATTGGCTGGCTGGGCAGTCAAGGCCTGATCTTTCGTGCCACGTTAGCAAGAACCAACACGTGCTGCCGCGTCCGACAGTGAAGGAGATAAAAGGTGCGAACGTGGTGGTGCGTCGTGCTCGTCAGCATAAGGATCTCGCGATGCGGTCTTTCTCCATTTCGTTCCATGGGCTCATGATGATGATTCACACCGACTTCGCCAAGGGTGAAACCGACGGTCAAAGACGACCCAGGGCGGCTATGTACTGAGTGTGACGACACCTGGAATGCAGCGGGGACAGGTATCACCGTGAGATCCTTTGATATGGCGGAATTACCGACTTAAGAGGGCCATGCGATCATCCCTGGGTGGTGAGGCTTCTGCACTGGCCGACGGTTTGGGACATCTGGAGTGGCGATGTGTTTCTTTGCAGGCGCTATGTTTCTGCAGTTTACCTTCGAGAGTAGGTCTGAATTTCCGAGGGGCTTCGAGACAAATTGCGATCATAGGCGCCAAGTCAGGATATGATCATATCAATAAGCTCGGGCCCCCCGGGAACTCTTGAGGATAGGAAATGTGCTGTGGAGCTCATGATTGCCCGGCAGGCCCTTCAGAGGTTCGGAGGCTATTTGAGGTGGGGCCCGACGTCCTTGATGTTGGCCGATGCTCTGACCAAGGAGAAGGCCGACGCCCATGACTTACTGAGAGCATGTATTCGATCAGGAGTGTATCAGTTAACAGATGAATCGGTGACCTTGGAGGAGGCAGCAGCTGAGAGAGAAAAAGAGACAGAGAGAGAGAGAGAAAGACAGAGAGACAGCGTCGTCGCCTCCGTAGGGAAGTTTCGCCAAGCGAGTCCTTGAGGGAGACCGCAGTGCCTGTGGCTAGCATCCGAAATTATCAGATGGATGGGCTTGCTGCAAGTGCAGACTCTCGAACGGTGCGCAGTCTTCACCAGAGCCTGACAGATGCCGAGACGAACTGCCCAAAAATGATGAACTGTGTGGCGGCGGCGACGCGAGTGACCGTCAAAGTACCTGCTGGTGTGATCGACAGCGGCCTGAAGCAGAATTTGCACTCGAAGGTGACATTGAGCTACCACAGCAACACCAATTAATTATGTCCAGGTGATGTGTCCGGCGTCCATCGAGGACGCGATAGTGAGCCATGTGGCGGAGTTAGAGCGCAGCTGTCATGACAAGATCGTGAACCACCCATCCTGCAAGATGGAGATGCCCTTTGGAAGCGAGCACCTGAGCAAGGTCATGAGATTCCCGCCAGGGGAGGTCGCAGGCCAGGGGACTGCGACGGAGAGCGCAGCCGAGCATGAGGAGAAGAGTTTCGTCAAGATCGGGAGACCGGAGATTCCTCAGGATGACTCGGCCTACCAGGCGGCCATCGTTCTCACGGCGGTACCGGTCACAGGGAGCCTGTCAAACCACCCGGACCAGCGGGGCGCTCTGCTGAAGGTGATGAGGGAGTCGTTCGGTTTGGAGTTGACGGAAATGGAGACGGAGCAGAACTCCTACGACGGTCGCTAGGACTCCGTGGGGCCTGAGGACCGGGGCCCGATGATGATGATGATGTGTCTTGAGTGAGGTAGAGGGCCCGGCAGCAGGCAACTAGAACTGGGAGTGAATGTGAAATGCAATGTACATGTGCTGGATTGCCTGCTGCATAGTGTGTTCGCGTGTGCTCGCCCATCCGTGCCCCTCTCTCCCTCGCCTGCCGCTTCCATTCTGGCCCAGACCAATCTTGGCAAGCCTATCGGAGATGCTCGCGCCTGGGGCAGCGCGAGGCAGAAAGGGATAGCTTCAGGGAAGGATCGGTCAGAAGGTCGAGCGCTGAGACGTGCTCTAGCAGTTTTGGGTTTTGCAGGAGGAGGAGGAGGGCGGGAAGGAGGAACGCGGGGACCGCCTCTTCAAAACGAGAACCCAACACCGCAGGATGTTTGGGACAAATTTGCCTGGCGAAGGACCCGACCCCATGCAGTTGTGAGCGCCGTCGTTGTATGCGCCGCATTCGGAGGATGTCCCTATAGGGCCGCGAGGCGTGTGAAGGGTGTGCCAAAATATGTCCGGTGGACGCGCGCGGAAGCAGCCGTTAAGACCGTCGGTGGAATTCCCGATGGGGCCACGAAGCGCGTGCGAGGTGTGCCGAAATAGGTGCGGTGGGCGCGTGCGAACGCAACCGTTGGGGCCGTCGGTGGTGGTGCCGCGAAGCGTGTGACGGGTGTGCCGAAATGGGTGCGGTGGGCGCGTGCGAACGCAGCCACTGGCGCCATCGGTGGAGCTCCCTATGGTGCATTCGGTGGAGCTCCCCATGGGGCCACGAAGCGTGTGAGGGGTGTGCCGACATACGTGGGTGTGCATGACGCCTGCGGGCGGTGGCACTGGGGCCTTCGGTGGAGCTCTTTGTGGGGCCACGAAACATGCGAGGGGTGTGCCGACATGGGTGTGCGTGACGGATGCGGGCGGTGGCACTTGGGCTTTCGGTTGAGCTTCCTATGGGGCCACGAAACGTGCGAGGGGTGTGCCGAAATGGGCGTGCGTGACGCATGCGGGCGGTGGCACTGGGGCCTTCGGTGGAGCTCCCTGTGGGGCCACGAATCGTGTGATGGGTGTGCCGAAATGGGCGTGCGCGACGCGCGCGGGCGGCGGCGCTGGGACCTTAGATGGGGCTCCCAGTGGGGCCCCGAAACGTGTGAGGGGCGTGCCCAAATGGGTGTGCGTGACGCACGCGGGTGGTGGCAGAGGGGCCTTCGGTGGAGCTCCCTATGGGTCCGCGAAGCGTGCGAGGGGTGTGCCGACATGGGTGTGCGTGACGGATGCGGGCGGTGGCACTTGGGCTTTCGGTTGAGCTTCCTATGGGGCCACGAAACATGCGAGGGGTGTGCCGAAATGGGCGTGCGTGACGCATGCGGGCGGTGGCGCCGGGGCCTTCGTTGGAGCTCCCTGTGGGGCCACGAAGCGTGTCATGGGTGTGCCGAAATGGGTATGCGGTGGCACTGGGGCCTTCGGCGGAGCTCCCTGTGGGGCCGCGAAGCGTGTGAGGTGTGTGCCGACATGGGTGCGCGTGACGCGCGCGGGCGGCGGCGCTGGGGCCTTCGGCGGAGCTCCCTGTGGGGCCGCGAAGCGTGTGAGGTGTGTGCCGACATGGGTGCGCGTGACGCGCGCGGGCGGCGGCGCTGGGGCCGTCGGCGGGGCTCCTTATGGGGCCACGAATCGTGTGGGGGGTGTGCCGAAATCGGTGTGCGTGACGCATGCGGGCGGCGGCACTGGGACCTTCGGTGGAGCTCCTTATGGTGCCACGAAGGGTGTGAGGGGTGCGCCAAAATGGGTGCGCGTGACGCATGCGGGCGGTTGCAGAGGGGCATTCGGTGGAGCTCCCCGTGAGGCCACGAAACGTGCGAGGGGTGTGACGACGTGGGTGTGCGTGACGCATGCGGGCGGCGGCACTTGGGCCTTCGGAGGAACTCCACCGAAGGCCCCAGTGGGACCGCCCGTATGCGTCATTCACCACCCAGTACAGCGTTTCGTGGCCCCATAGGGGGCTCCACCGAAGGCCCCAGTGGGCCCGCCCGCATGCGTCGTCCACCGCCCACTACAGCGTTTCGTGACCCCATAGGGAGCTCCACCGAAAGCCCCAATGGGACCGCCCGCATGCGTCATCCACCACCCAGTACAGCGTTTTGTCGCCCCGTTGGGAGCTCCACCGAAGGCCCCAGTGGGACCGCCCGTACGTGTCATCCACCACCCAACACAGCGTTTCGTGGCCCCATAGAGCTCCACCGAAGGCTCCAGTGGGACCGCCCGCATGCGTCACCCACCGCCCAGTACAGCGTTTCGTGGCCCCATAAAAAAGGCTCCACCGATGGCCCCAGTGGGACCACCCGCGTGCGTCATCCACCACCCAGTACAGCGTGTCGTGGCCCCATTGGGGGCTCCACCGAAGGCCCCAATGGGACTGCCCGCGTGCGTCATCCACCATCCAGTACAGTGTTTCGTGTCCCCACAGGGAGCTACGGTCTCCGTGGCGGATTCCGCATGTCGGCCCAGTGGCGGAGTTCGCATGGCGGCGACTCTCGATTTCCACAGGTTAATCGTCGCATTCGACGTATTGATGCCGCTGTCGGGTCGCGCATCCCGGGCGGGAGCCAGCCTGCTCGTTCTCTCTGCTCCGCGCAGCGGACGACCCGCGCGTGTCGCAGGGACCCCTTCGGGGCGACCAGCGCGCGTCGCGGGGACTCCGCGCGGCGCCGCGCCCACAGCTTTGGACGTGGGCGCGCACGGGCAAAGAGGGAGAAAAATAACGGGAAGGAAGCGGACGCGATCCTCGTGAGAGGCGCGCCGACATGGGCGTCGACATTTATGCACGTAGACTCACGCGCGCGCAGACTCATCCACAATCAGACTCACTCGCTCTCAGTCTCTCGCACACAGACCTATCGTCTTCGCTCGCGTTGTGTGGCCCGCCACGCATGTTGGCACGCCCCTCACACGGTTCGTGGCCCCATAGCGAGCGCGGACGAAGATGATATTTCATAATTGCGGTATTCACAGCTGCGTATGGTTGGGTCTTTCGCCAGGCTAATGAGAGTTAGTGCTGGGAGAGATGGTAATATCCGATCTGGTACTTCCAGGCGAAGACTACGAGATTCTTCGACCGAGCGAGACTTCCAGGCTTTCTGATCGACGATGAGCTTCCGAAGCTCCCTCTGATACGCCTCCACCAGACGACGTCCATCCTCCATTTGCCACTTCGGATCATTCTCACGCTCCTCTCTCCTTCCTCGAGCAAGCAGGACCTCGCTCTCAGTCGCTGCCAAAATCGGAGCCTCGTCGGACCCCCCACACGTGACCGCTCCACAGTCGAACAAAAGCGTCGCCACCGAGCAGGAGTCGGAGGGTTGAGGTACTTGAGGGCTGGAGTCGGAGAGACCTGGAGGTACTTCTTGGAAGGCTGAGGCTCAGCTGGCTCCTCAGCACTGCGAGCCAACTTTCCCTTTTTCGACCCAAAAGGCACTCGACGTGATCCCGTCGGATGTGCCGGATCTCTGGCTGGCATTTGGTATGGATACGGAAACGGAAACCTTGACGGGGTATTTGCCGGTCGGTGGAGTCGGTTCGATCGGTGATGTCGGTGTCGCCGGAGTCGGGTGCCCCTCATCTGGTCCCGGGACTGCCCAAGCTCGGTCATCCACCTCCTCCTCTTCCTCTGGAGGGCCCTCTGGGTGCCTGGGACCCTTGGTGATATCGTCGAAGTATCTCCTGGCAAGGTTGTCCAGATCCACCGTCGTCGTACGTAGTTCCGATTCCGCAAGCTTCCAAGCAGTACGTTCCTCCTGAGTGGCCTCCCGCATTTGTTTTGGAGAGGCCTTCACCAGACTCCCAGGAAGTGCAACCCAATAGTTTGCCCTGACAGGTCCTACGCATATGCCTGGCCGCCAGCGATGCGAAGACTGTTTCCCAGCAGTCGCTCCCTTCATCTTGCGCCATACGGCAACCATCTGTCCTGCCTAAAATTCTGGATGCCGTCTTGGACCGGAATCGAGAGCAACTCGAGCAGCCTTCTTCTCGTTGTGTGCTAAAATCACACGGCGGGCCATGGCACGAATACTGGCAGCACGAGCCGCCACCGAGTCATGCAAAACACAGCTGTTCGCAACTAGGTTCGGGTTCTCCTGAAGCAGATCCTCTGGTATTCTGGATTTCGACCGAAATCCATCTGACTCGGGGAAACTCCATTCACGTTCAGCATCGAATTCTTTGCTTTTTGGAGTTGTGCTACACACTCTAGCCTTTCACCTTTATCCTGGGGCTGAACATCATCAATCATCACCTGCAGCCACTGTTCAAACCATTTCCCGTGTACCTCCACCTTCCCATTTTGTTCTTTAGCCATTCCAGCCGTATCTACAATAATCGCGCCGTCCTTGTCCATTGCATCCTGGAGTTCTCCCGACACATGTGCACTCGCAGCGTATACCTTCAGCCACTTGGGCCTCATGTGTGGCCTGGTCCAGTTGTCCCGATACGTGCGAAGTAAAACGAGAGACGATTCAGTTTCCCCCAGTCGGAGCGGTGCCATCACGTGTGGAGATGACGCCTCGCACACGATATTGGGACAGTTGCGCCGCTCCCCTTGTATGTAGTATAGGAGCTCCTTCACATCCATAGCAATAGACTTCGGAGGAGGCTGGAGATTCGGAGGTGAACTGTACCTGGCGATACCTGGTTGTCGTCGAGACTCGCAATCGTCGCAGTGGAAATTCGCCGCATGTCATAAAGCCTCGGAACTCGCATTCGCATGTCGTAGGTGTCGGAGCATCGTGGCCGTCGTCGCATGACCTAAGCTCACGTGGAGTCGTCGCAAAGCAGCCCCAAAACTGCGGACGCCTGGGACACGCTTCCTCTCCTCCTTCTTCGTCGTCGACAGCACAGGCCTCCACCTGCTTTCCTCCGTCCTGGATCATGCCCTGGACAGTCCCTGGAGTATCCGTCTGATGAGCTTACTCGGGCATACCTGGGTCCAGCGGGGAAGTGAAACTCCCACGCCTGGCAGCGGGCTTCCACCCTCTGTCCGCACATGTGCGTGACTGCCCCGTCAGGGGAGAGAAAGCTCCTTCGCCACCTCCGGTGACGACGTTACAAACTTTTAGCGCTTGCTCAGGAGAGCTCCTGAAATAGGATGTCGGAGACCCACTCTGCACCCACTCGTCACACCCACACGACACCGTCGGATTCCGCAAGAGTCGTTTCATATCTCGTAACCCGTAAGTCGCTGTAGTCGGTGGGGCCTCGAAAATAGAATGCCTGTCCCGAGACATCT